ATACGTTTTCACAACTTTACTGATTTAACTTTAGAGAGGAATACTTTAGACATAAAGATTTCGCTCGGGTAGCCTAGACATAGGACCTCGACCTAAGGTTACGGTTGGTTCTTACTAAATTAAGTTCTTTTTTCTAATAGACATATTAGGAATGGACTTAAACCTTCAAAATCACTTAGACATAAGAAGATGGCGAAGTAAACCCGAATAAAATTTATGAGAGCCGCCGGCACCTAGTTGAAAAAAGTTTGTGTATTGTTAGCTAATTTGAAGTAACTGGGCTGRGTTTATTGCATTGAGTTTTTAAATATCAAAACCAACATTRTCCTTATTATTTGTCAYCCCAAATYCAATTACAAAGTCTCCGATCATTAACATTTCCTATAAAAAGACTTCATTTGTCCCTGAGGATCGATACTCGGAATACTCGTTCCGTTTTTACTACTTGTGACGGGTGTACACTTGCGCTCTCATTTATTTTGAATTAAAAAAAAAACCCAAACAACTTTATGGGCTCAAACAAGCACCTCATGCTTGGTTTGAGAAATTCTCCACAGTTGTTACTTCACTCGGTTTTATCTATAGTCATCATGATTCCGACAAGTGTAGGTCGTATTTTGTTGTCATTGTATGTTGATGACATGGTCATTACTGGTGATAATTATGATGGAATAGAATCTTTAAAGTCTGATCTCTCTCGTTGTTTTGCTATGAAAGACTTAGGCATGCTATGCTACTTTCTTGGTATTGAGGTCGATTATTCTCCAAAAGGTTATCTCTTATCTCAGTCAAAGTATATAGCTGATTTGTTTGATCATACGCATCTCACTGACAACAGGACTGTTGATACTTCTTTAGAGCCCAATGCCTGATATTCTTCGTCGGATCGTGTTCCTTTGTTAGATTCCAGTTTGTATCGTACTATTGTTGGTAGTTTGGTCTATCTAACTGTGACTCGTCCAGACATTGCACACGATGTTCATGTAGTTAGTCAGTTTGTCACTACTCCTACTACAGTTCATTGGTCTACTGTTCTTCGTATTCTCAGGTATCTTCGAGGCACTCAGTTTCAGAGCCTCTTGTTTTCCTCCATGTCATCTTTAGAGTTGCACGTTTACTCTGATGTTGATTGGGTTGGTGATCCTACTGATCGCAAGTCAACCATTGGATTTTGTATTTTCCTTGGTGATTCACTTATTTCATGGAAGAGTAAGAAACAATATGTTATTTACCGATCTTCTACAGATGAGTATCGTGTCATAGCCTCGACTACTTGTGAAATTGTTTTGTTACGTTGGCTACTTGCATATATGAGCGTTTATCTTTGTCATCCTACTCTCTTACATTGTGACAACCATAGTGCCATTCAAATTGCGCGCAATTCATTTKTCATAAGCGAACCAAGCATATTAAGATTGATTGTCATGTATGTCACTCACCATCATCTCCAACATGGCTCTATTACATTGTCTTTTGTTATTTATTTGACAAACTCTCAATGCCTATCGCTGTAGCATCGTGAGTTTGCGGGGAAATGTTAGCATTAATATTTTTGTTATTATTATTATTTGTCTTTGAGGTAGATTAATATTTTCTTATTTAGGCTTAACGACTTATATAAGCATCATCCTGTATTCGAATACTATTCAATTGTTAATAAATCAAACCCTAATTTTATCTCCTTATGTTTTCAGTAAACAAAAGGAAATCAATCATCTTCCCCAATATTCACTCTTGAAACTCGCTATAAAATTGTTCCATTCAATTTTAACTAAACGTTTCTGCTTTCAGTTTTACCAGAAATGGCGGCGGAAATATTTTATTCCTCCTCTTTGACGGGTGGAATTATGCAATTTCAACTAAGATTGCATAAATCCAAGACTTTCTTGATTTTCTTCCAACGATGCGGCGTGATGGCTTCTTCGCCGATCTAAAACTTGCGAAAATTAATCCTAAAGATTTCACTATTAATACGACAAAACCATTATCATAAAAGCCCTCTCCACAGAATGACAAACGAAAAAAAAGAAGATAACTTTGGTTAATTTTATGGTAGGGTTCGATCTAGCATTTTCTAAATCTCATACTAGGATTTCATCATAAATCCCGTGATAAAAAGACAAGATTCGTGATAATTTCGATTTTCTTTAACAGTGACTTTTGCCCTAAATCTKGAAGAAGGGGAAGTTTGAGATGTTTTTAGAAAAATAGATCTCGAGATTACGAGCTTGGATTTTCAAATTTGAGATTTTTTTTTATATAAATTAAGAGTTAGAAAATTTGAGGATATTTTTGTACTACTAGTATTTTAGACGTGCAAATAGTTCATTTTTTCTATTTAAGAAAAYACGTTATTTTATAATATTATTGGGGTAAAACTCGAACAAGACGCGTGGYCGCTTCCCAACGGATTCGGGACCAAGTACGGTCACTTCCCACAAGGTAGTATCGCCAAGTAGGACACAGGTCCACCCATTAAAAATTTAATCTAAATATATTATTTAAAAATTAAAATATAATTTACTATAAAATTCGATGATAATTGATTTTCGGTCAGAAAATGATTTTACATAAAAGCCCTGACATTATAATATTATATTTCACGCGATAAGCCGGATAAGGAGCGGGGGGACGTGGACGGACGATACCATCATCTGTGTCAGTTTTCTGCCCATTCTTCAAAATTCCTCTCTGAATATGGCATCAGCCTCTGCATTTACATTCCCTCCATCATTTCCGAGCTCCACCTGTCGGAAACCTAAGAGGAAAGCCATTTCTCCGGCGATCTTCTGTCGAAGGTCTTCCCAATTCGGCCTCCGGCGGGAAATTTTGAAAGGGTTGTCGCTGTTTCCTCTTTCGCTCCCTCTTTTCGAATCGATAATTCCACTTCCTTCTGAATCGAAGGAGGTCGAAGTTGGCTCCTATCTCCCGCCCTCACAGTCAGACCCTTCTTTTGTGTTCTTCAAAGCTTCCCCATCCGACACCCCGGCTCTTCGTGCAGGTATTATGACTTATTTCTGTATTGTTCTTCCAATAATCGAATTGGGAATGGGGGCAATGCGTGTTTTTCAGAACTCAGTTTTAGTTTGTGGAGCTAAGTGTTCAACTATTTTGAGAAGGCGCAAACCGAAATTGCGCAAGGGGATTCTTTAAGTTTCTTGGCCGGAAATAATTTTATAATGTTCCGTTTCGCTCATGATTGATTCTTCGGCTTGCCTTCGAGGTTCAAACTCGAATTGTGAACCGATCGAGAGAATCCAAGACWTTTTGGTTGATTGTAGTGGTTAATTGCTCATCTGAACTTAGTTGGAAAGCTGTCTGTGAGATTTGGTTGTTGATCAGTTTAGCATCCATAACTTTGAGGTGGTTTATGTTTATGGCATAGCTAACAGTAGTTACTCCTTGAATTAGTTAGTTCATTTGAGAACTGGTGTTTTAGTTTGCATTAGTTGAGTTAGCAAGGGTGTGAGAAAGTTCTTTAAAAATTGAAGCGGAGTGAACTTTAATCTTGGGRGTGTGTTCTTGAGTCTTATAGCGAGTTCTCTGGTTGGATGTAGGGATGGCTGAGGAAGAAATAATGGGGCAACTGCCCCTTCTTAGTTCACCTTAGATTAAGAAAATAAAAGAAAAATGTTGAGATTTTAAAGTTCTCTCTAGTTTCACATGCACTAAAATTTATAGAATTGGTAGATTATAGGTAAAAAAAGGTTAAAATGTAAAATGTTGCCACTTCCCGAGAAAATTTATGGTTTACCCCTGGTTAGATGTAAAAATAAAATGTTGTCCAAGACTTGAAAAGTTCTCTCCAAATGATATGACATCTCTATTGTTTAACGAACTTAGGATGGTACATGAAGATATCTTTTTGGTAGATTGTTTATTGTCCCAGTAGAAGTGTAGAACTGTATAGATAGAGGCTCTCAAGGGCTAAAAAAAGAACCAAACACCATTAGTTTCCATGAGTTTAAAAATTTCCTGAGGATTCTGAAGATCARACTGGCTGTGAACTCATTATGTCGATTACGTATTGTTATGCCACCTGAGATCTATGCAAGGTTAAATGAATTCATTTCAACCATATCTATCCTAAGAAGTAGAAACAATAGATCCTTCCCACTGAGACAAATGCAAATAGGTTTTAGATAATGGTGAGAGGTTACCACTAGTTTTTCTGTTAGTTTCAGTTGTGAGAGATTGCATCCAATTATATACTTTTGTTACCTTGATGTATTACTATGCATTTTGCATCTGAAATTAAGAAAGCACTTGCTATATAGGATAGATGCACGAAGCATATTATTGGTTATATTTTTCTTTATTGTCACCATCTTCTAAGTTGTTAAATGTTACATGCTAATGATACTTGAGATTTAGTTCTTCGCAGGAAATGTGCAACCATACCAATTCATTCTGCCCCCAACTTGGAAACAAACTCGTGTAGCAAATATTTTATCTGGTAATTACTGTCAACCGAAGTGTGCAGAGCCATGGGTAGAGGTAAAATTTGAAGATGACAAACAAGGGAAAATCCAGGTAGTGGCTTCCCCTTTGATTCGTCTTACTAATAAGCCTAATGCTACAATTGAAGACATAGGTAGCCCTGAGAAGGTGATCGCTTCGCTTGGCCCTTTCGTTACTGGAAATTCATACGACCCAGAAGAGCTCCTTGAAGCATCAGTTGAGAAACTCGGTGATCAGACGGTATGATCCTCTCGTGACTCGTAGATTCTAATTTTTTGTTTTATAAATAATCCTTCTTTGAGTACAATAAAGCTGTAGATATAACTTGGAGATGTGAGATTTGCGTACTCCCACTCTAGTATAGCATAGGTTAAGTAATACTTTTAATTCCTATACTTTAACCTAAGATTTATTTTACTCCTTGTGCTTTTAAAAGCTTTGTTATCATCCCTGCTTACCTGATGTCCCTACCATTAGCAAGACATAACAAAAACCCAATGTGAGTAGTTATTTGTAGTTGTGCTCKAAAACGAGTCATAGAAAACAAATATATGTTAGTTATGTTATTGCACTCCAAAACGAGATTAGCCAGCCCTTTCAACTTTTTAATCAAAATAATGTTTATGTTAGAGAATATGACCCGATCTCTATTACTCCTCTCAAGGACATCTAGCAAGCTTTAATCAAAATACAAGAATGATAAGAAAACTTTTAAAACCATATCAACCAAAGTTGAAACTTAAATTAAAGCTAAGAACTAAATTATTTTAACCAATAGTATATAGCGGATTCTGTCGGGAAAAAAAAAAGTATATATGTAGCGGATTCTTTTGGTTTAGATTTATGTGCCTAGTTCCTTCATAAGTACATCCCCAATTTAGATCAACTTCATTTGAACTCTTGCTGAACTATCTATCTAGCTAGGACTCCACTTCTTCCATAGCAGCTTTGAAGCTTGCATGTGGCTGCCATCATTCTAACTTCTAACATTTCTCAGTTTCTCTTAGTGAAACTGAAGATAGTTAAGGCATTGTTGGTCATTTGATAACGGTTTCATTTGTAGTTTTTTTTGTTTTGAAAAATTTGTGCTTGTTTTCTCACCATTTCTTTAGTATGCTTTTTCTCCTTTATTMAAAATTACGTTTGAATTCTGAGTTAAAATTCAGAAGCAAGTAGGTAATAAGACTTGCAAAACCACATAGGAACTATAAATATAGTTATCAAATAGGTCTAAGTTACTTTTAGGTGCATTGTGTTACATATCAGTTTCAGAAGTTTGATGGTAAAAACTTATTAGAGCGTTGTTTTACGACGTTTATGCAGTACTACAAATACACACTTGAGACTCCCTATGCTCTGACGGGGACACACAATCTAGCTAAGGCAACGGCAAAAGGAAGCACAGTTGTCTTGTTTGTGGCTAGTGCAAATGATAAACAATGGCCGGCATCTGAGAAAATTCTGAGAACCATGCTCGATTCTTTCCAGCTGTAATTTCTCAACACAAATTGCAATTGAGATTATATTTGATAGTATATGTTCTGGAGAAAATTCTTCGCTTCACAGATACTGAAGAATGAATATATATTGAGTTTAGCATTCCTGTTGCGGAATATCATTCTTTGACATTCTTAGTAAAACAAAAAATCTAGAAGATCTCATTTATTATTATTATTATTTTTTTAAATAATGGGAGCAGAGCTTTCCTCTCATATACTTAAGAAGGGAGTCCGTGTCTGTCCGGATTGAGAGGCATCAAGAATTTTTGGTATTAAGCTCATCGGGAGGTTTGAAGACTTCTAAGTTAGACACATTAATAGTTTTTAAAGATCATTTTAATAGTATAGATCTAATACTTATTATAAATGTATCATACACTTGTTAATTATAATAAATATACTTTTTTTTAATATCCATGAGTGTTCTATGGGTGCATCTCTCTCACGGGTTAACTGTTTGACCCTAATTTATTCTTAGGTAGGTAGTTATCGTGAGATTTGAATCCCTTTCCTCTAAATCCTTATGATTTAACTCGACCCTTTTGAACCAATGAGTCATTGGTAAAACATAATAAATAGACATAATAATAATATATGTAGTCATAATAATAAAATATGAGGACAAAATGCAGCACACACATTTTTTTAAGCATCAAGATTTTTAAACTTATTAACTTAACATTACCTTCAAGTTAAAAATGCTATATACTTAAAAAAAAATTGTATATTTCAATAAACGCGTCTTTGGCGTATCCGTGTTTTTTATAAAATGGCATGTCATTGTGTTTGTGTTGTGTCATATTTGTATCTTGTTTTCGTAGCTTATGAGACTAATTGAAAGCTGAATTGATTAAGGACTTGATCAATAAAAATCAACCTACAAAAATGAACACTTGACAATTTTTATAAATTAAGGACAGGAATTGAGAAAACCAATACATTAAATGTAAAATTGATATTTTGTATAAATTAAGGATACAATTGAAATTTTGTTAACAGATTAGAGATTAATTTATATATAAAGCCATTGTTATATAACTACAACACTTGTGATGCCATTTTTACCTATGTTTGCTAAAATCTAAGACTTCATTTGAAAGCGATTTTAAGTTTTATTTTAACGGTCATGATTCAAATCTTAACCAACTTGAAAAACAAAATCTTGGTTTTTTAAAATTAATTTGTTTTAATTTTAAATATTTGTTCAGGATTAAATTTTTTTTTAATTTAATTTCCTTTGAGTAGGAGATTGGAACTCACAGCCTCCTAGATATTCGACCGGCCGTCCGCCCGTATTCTGTACTTGTTGCTGTGTGCTGTCATCCATAGTCGTCCGCGCTACTGTCTTCCACCGTCTGTCGTTGCTCTGTTGTCTTCTACAGTGCATCGCCTTCTGTATTCCGTCTTCGCTGGCTGGCTTGCCGTAGAGAGGTAGCTCTTAGGAACTAATTTCTGAAAAATTATTTGCACGATTTTGAATGTGGAGGCCTTAGTACCCTTTTGTGTTTTTGCATCAAACTTCTTGTTGTTTGGGTTTTATTCATGTGCGTAGCATTAGATTTTCAAAATTCCTGTATTTGTGCTGCAGGTTTTTTGTTATGATTTTGCAAAAGGGTTAGATTTTTGATTTATTTAGGAAACTAACTCTATTTATTGTGGCATGGTATTCATTGGTCAGAATTGAATGTTCACAAAGTGATTTTATCTGTCTTTTTGGTTTTGTTAAATTTGTGTATTGTTTAGTTTTGTTTTTGCTTTGGGTTGGATTAGCCATTTAATTCGGCCGGTTCCCACATATGGCCAACTCGTCCCAAAAACTCTCCTGACCCAACTTATCCCAACTCAATCCGTAAGCACTATAATTATCATACAAATAGATGAAAATTCAAACTTATAATATTTGTGGCTTAACCATTAACCTAGGCTAAACTGTACCATTACTCAGACTTTTAATATAGTGAAAATGACCCCATGTCATTGAACTTAAAATAAATATAAATAAAGATAAAATTTTATATAAATAATTTAATATTAATTATATAAATGAATGTAACTTTTTATATATATTTTTTTTGATATCCGTAACTGTTCGTACACCTATCTCGAGACAACTAGGTGACCCTACTACATTTGGTTGTCAAGGAACTGGAAAACACATACACACATTTTTAGGCGAAGTATCTGTGTTGGACACACCGGATATGCCTGGACACGTGTCAAAATGCGTGTCTGCTTTTTATTAATTTTGGCACTCACTTTAAAAAATAGTCATTAGTTTTAAATTTTGCACAAATGGCAAAACGGCATTTTAGTAGTTTTACAAAATATTGTGATTTTCCTATCCTTTTCCATGATTTTTTTGGGTTTTTCTTATATTCAACCACCTAACAACCTTGTTTTAAATTCAAATTATTTTTCCTACATTAAAGGATTTATAATTACTTATTTTAATTATGTTGTTTTGAATTTCAGTTAATTTAAATGATTTGTCATTGTTCTACCGTCTCATGCCATTGTTCTACTGTATCTTCTAAGCCTCCTCTTCTCTCTTTGCAACAATAGATTGTTTGGATTTATTTGGCTGCATATCATTATCAAATTAAGTTTCTGAATGTTCTTTCGACGTTGATTTATTTCTCTTATCTTCATATGTAGACTCATCATTCATCTTTTCATTCTCATCAAATTTTCTGTTATCCTTCGAAACATTTGATGAATTATTTAAAAACGAATGTCAATAAATGTATATACCAATTGAATAAGAAAGACAATACATGTATATATCATTATGCAACTCAATTATAAAAATTAGAAGATTGATAAATATATATACCAATAGAAGAATTATTAAATTTGGAAATACATGTATATATCACTATGCAACTTAATGACTAAAATTATAAGGTCAATACATATAAGTACCAATTTGAGAATTATCAAAACTAGGATGTCAATACATGTATATATCATAATTCAACTCAATTATCAAAATTAGAATGCAACTCAATTATCAAAATTAAGAGTTCGTTATATTTATATATCAAAATTAGGATGTCAATACATGTATATATCACAATGTAAACTCATTATCAAAATTAAGACTTCAATACATGTATATATATTAATTGAAGAAATATCAAAACTAGGAGATCAATACTAATTAAATAAATATTAAAATTAGAAGCTCACCAATAACATGATATATATATATATATAAAGCAGTTGGAGTTATGTAGATACACTTCTCAAATTTAATTTTAAATGACAAATTCATGTGGTCGGTCCCACGTCTATTTTATTTTAAAATTCTTCCTAAATTATAGGAAGTAAAAAAAAACAAGAGATAATATCTCGGGCGAGGACTATTTTTAATTCTTAATTTCATAAATATCTTTATCTTTAGTTTTCTAAACTTACACTTTTAGATTTTTTTCATGTAGGATTTTATTCTAATACCGTTTCTACCATTGCTTTTTATTTTATTATAATTTTAAAATTTAAAAGAATTGAAACCTTAATTTGTTATTATATTCATTTAATTATTGTGGGCCCCGTTCAATTATTCAACCTAAATTCCACAAATCTCTTTTTCAAAAAAGATTTTATTCTCTCACCAATTAAGAACTTCCAAATTTGTGAAATCATTTTTTGAATTAATCAAATCGTTTGCTACGTCTGCTTCCTTCTCCAACCTTGATTTTTTTTTCCCCGGCGTCTTCCTTTTTTTCGTGCATACCTTCATCAACGTCGACAGCATTGAAGTGCATACCGTCTGTGTACTTCTTCAGAGCTTCCATCAACGAGCGATTTTTTCCTTGGTCAAACGCAATATTGAACGCAATCTTCTCTCTTTCATTTTCCAAGAATGAAAAAGAAGCTTCTATCAATATCGTCTCGCCCCCCTCTTGATAGTGAAAGAGGGGCCCTAATGGAAGATGGGCTTTTTTTTTTTTTCTGGTATGCCGCTCCGCGAGCAAGGAGCGAGAGAACATAAATCGAACCTAATATCATGAATATCCTTCGCCCGTTATCTCCTCATCTTCCTATTTATAAGCCACAGCTCACTTCGACGTTTCCAATTTCCCATAGAATCTCCGGGGCTTTCCTAGCCACTCTCGTTTTGTTTTTTTATCTTCTTTGTCTGAAAATGGGTTTGATTTGCTTCACCTATTCTTTCCGTCGAGATCTTCTTCTTTCCGTCGCCGAATAGACTTTCCCTCTACCTCGTTCCACGTTTTCGACGCGTCAACGAGGTATTTATTCCTTCAATTTCTGTCGCCGAATAAACTTTCCGTCGACGTCTTTGAATGTTTCCGATGTCGTTCAGCGCGTTCCTCGTCTTCTGTCCCCTTCTGTTTTTACCATTGATACTTATTAGTCTTCCGTTAAGATTGGTATATATGGGGATATATTTTATGTATGTGTACAGAAAATGGAAGTTCTAAACGTCTCACAGTCTTAGTATTCCTGATTATATTCGTATATATTATATATGTGAGTATATCTTATATGTGTATACATATATCTTATAGTTCTATAGAAAGGGTCCTCCATACCCTTTGTAATTATTAGTCTTCCGTTAAGATTGGTATATATGAAGATATATTTTGTTTATGTGTATAGAAAATTGAAGTTCTAAATGTCTCATATTCTTAGTATTCCTGATTATATTCGTATATATAGGTATATATTGTATATGTGTATATATGTTATAGTTATATATAAGATATAAACACATATATCCTATAGTAATGTAGAAAGGGTCCTCCAAAATTGAAGTTTTAAACGTCTCATGGATGAAGCGAAAAAAAGTTATTGATTTCGAATTTGGGAGATTTTTGGACGGGATTTGGAGATATTTTGGGAGGTTATGATTTCAATTTTGGGGAATTTAGAGTTTTGTTTTTAATGTTTTGGTATTTTAATTTGTTTTGGAAAGTATCATTAACCTAAAATTATGGGATCTAAATTATAACCTTCCAAACAAAACCCTAAATTATGGAATTTAGGGTTTTGTTTTTAATGTTTTGGTGTTTTTATTTGTTTTGGAAAGTATCATTAACCTATTATGAGATCTAAATTATAACCTTCAAATTAATCAATTTTGTATATTAAAATGAATTTAAAATTAATTTGTAAATACAAGAGGTTATTTAAGTAATTTATATGATGGGTACCCTCTTAAATAAGGTTGATACATAACAAATGTGTAAATTCTATACATTTCATCCTTTTATGTAATTAGGTTCTTTAAATAGCCCATCAATGTACTAATCCCAAAAAACAAGTTTTATTTTTAAATTCTCCCCAAATTATGGGAAGACAAATAACAAGCTTTTAAACATTTCCTTTATTCGTTTTACATCGTTCAAAGTCCCAAAATCAAAACAAAATACTAAGCTGTTGAAGAGGCAACTAGACGATAGTCGATTGTCTAGGGTAGATCTCAACAGTGACGGCCTGCGGAATGTTGGGCAGCGACGCGCATACCAGAATTGGGCGAAGCCAAATTGCTGAACGAAACTGGGAGAAACCAACCAGAATGGGATGAAACTTATYAGTATCGGACGAAGGCAACTGATCGGTTAATGATTGATCGATGACCTGATAGGGATGATGGAGAACTATATGTGAAGATGAAAGTTGGAGGAGAGATGGAGATGTGGGGCAAAAAGGAGGGGTTGCTACTATACAAACCCTAAATCCAACTTCTTGAACACAAGGTTAAGATCCTAAGTTTTCATAAATTTCCCTAACAATATTCATATTTACCCTTCTTATTTATGAATTATAGATTTTGTCGCAACGTCATCGCGACGCGGAGCGGCCGACGTCATCTCCTGAAGGGTCTCTTTCGAGATAAGGGTTTAGAGTCGCCACCAATCATCTATGAGGTGTGATTGGTAACCGGCAAGATCTGCAAAAACAGATTGTTGGTTCGGGAGTCGACTGAGCGTAGGGAATGTGTTAGCACCCTACGACACCCGTTTGAAAACGGTACCACATTTTGTCAAAAATTATCCTATTATTTTATTTTGTAAAAAAAAAAAGAAATATTTTTATTTTATTTTAAATGTCACATATTATATTAATTCACATTTTGTAATAGGATATGAATTAATAGGTATAAGTGGCACAAGGCCATTAGAAAAATTTTGACACCTCGAGAATATTTGAAGGGTCTAATTCTCGTCATTGGAGTTTTTGAAATAATTATTTAGCAAAAAATAATAAATAAAAAATAATTTTAATTTTATGGAACATTAAGACTTGAACTTGCAATATGAGTGTTGATATTCAAACATCTCACCAATGTGCCACCACCTTAGGATATAAACTATATTCCTTTTTAAAATACAAATTTTGTATTTTGTAATTTTGTTTAAAATAATTATTTAGTAAAAAGATAAAATGAGGCATGCAAAGACTCGAACTTCGGTTATGTACATTAAAAAATATTATATGTCTTACCACTATTCCAACATCCTAAGATGTAAACATTGTGTTTTTTGACAAAAACAAAAGTTTTAATTTATTTTTTTAAACTAAAAAAAACCTACGAATTTTGTTAAATTAAAACAAAAAATAAATAATCTTTTTTTATTTCAAAATTAACAACGATTATCTAAAAGAAAAAAAAACTTTTATTTAAAATAAAAATAAAGTCAAATTTACTTTAACAAAACTTATTTGCATTTTTTGTTAACATTCCTTTCAAAACCATAACCACCAAACCATTAAAAAAATGAGATTTCATAGTAAACCTCGTTAAAAAAAATTCTTTTAAATAAAAACTATCTCTAAGAATCCAAAGTTTTTTTAAACAAGATTTATTTTATAAAACTCATATTTTTTCAATGTATTTTAACCAAAATTTAAAAGTAAAATCTTTTATTAAAATAAAATTAAGTTTAATATTTATTTCATTAAAAAAAATCTTTCTTTATTGGAAAAAGAAAAACCTTTTTATTTTAAAACAAATTTTAAAATATCAAAATCCTTATTTTATTTTCAAAAACTTATTTAAAATTAATTTAGAAGATTTTTTTTACCTTAAAAAATGGTTTCTTAATAAAAGCATTTTCTTTTAAAAAAGTAAAAAAAAAACTTTTTCTTAAAAAAACATTTTTTTCTAAAAAAAAAATCTTTTTATAATAATTTGAAACCAAATTAAAAGCATGATTTTCAAAACCAATTTTTCCTTATTAAAAAAAAAGGTTATTTCCAAGGTATTTTATACTTACTTAAAACGCACTACCGGGTGATCGTCGAAGTGCCTGCGGGCTTGGAAGGAGCTGTGAAGAAGGTTGTTGTTGCTGTGTCGTTCGTGGGATAAGAGGAGAGAAGAGATGAATTGGTGGTTATTGATAGGAAAAAGATAAGTTTTAGAGACGGAGACAATAAGATACAGTGATGAGTTTCTAACTCTCTGCCATGTTCTGTGTTCCTTCTATTGCCCCCTTAAATACCAGAAAAAAAAACGGTAATACTGTGAGTGAAAGTAAAACCAGAGAAAAAGAGGGAATGGGAAGCGTTCGTTTTGACGAAGAAAAACAGGAGGAGAATCTAAATTTTTTTTAATTAAAAAAGCATTTATTTAAAACAAAATTATTTAATTAAAATCAAATCTTTTTATTTCGTTTATTTAATATTAAATCAAATTCTTTAAAACAAAATCTAATTTAATTTAAACCTTAGCTTATAATCAATAATAAAGTAATCTTATAGTATTTTAAATCAAAATAAAACTTAATAAAATAAAAATTAAATAACTAAAATGAAGCCGGACCAAATACGGTGTCTACAGATTTTAAATCTATAAATTTGAAAATCTTACATTAACAAAAACTTTTTTTATAATTTTAAAATATATTTTCAGAATCTCTTTCCAATTTTGAGTTGTTTGAACAATTGTTTAATTAGATACAGTTGATTGATTCCTCCATATTTGTTCTATCAAATAAATCTCTAAAATTTAGCATATATACCTAATTTTTGTTACAGGGATATATTGGTCTAAAATACTAATTCAGGAATTAAAAAAAATGTGATTTAGTAATTTATATGAAATCTCGTATGTTTGACCATTTTAAAATATGTTATTTATTTTAGTCCTTCCTACAATTGTCTCTTTTTATTTTTTAAAAATTGGACCTAGGTGGACACGAAATGACAATTTTGTGGGTTTTCTAGTCCAAGTAAGAAGACCCAATACACATTAATAATTACAAAAAAAACAAATAAATGATAAAAAACTTAATACTCGCAAACGAAAACAAAACACAACACACACTCCACGAAGCCGACGCCGACGCCGCTGCACGCATTCTTTCCCGCTGACGCCCACGCCGCCACCGCCACTCGCCCTTGTTGCCGCCGCCGCCCGCCCTTGCTGCCGCTTGCCCTTGCTGCCGCCGCCGACACCGCCCCTGCCTCTATTTTTCTTTTTTCTTAGGTAAACACTTTTTTTTTTATAACCCTCTGTTTTTCTTTCATTTTCATATACAAAAAACAATTATCTATCTTTTAAGTCCCTTTTTTTCCGACCCCAATTGGAGTAAAATGATACTTTCTTGTTCGTGCGTTTTGTTTCTGTCCACTTAGTCTTTGTTTTTTTTTTTCCTTGTTTTATAAATTTAATTATACACATTGAAATAGTATATATATCCTAAAAAAAACGTATATCCAACGTGTCCGTGTCCTAATTTTTTAAGAATTGAATTATGACCGTATCCTATTGTATCATGTCCGTGCTTCTTAGCCAAGGAATGTAACTCTAGAATAAATAATCTGTTATTTTTTTAAGTATAAAGTATCTACTTATATTCGAGTGACCCAACTGAACTTAGTAGCATTTTTAAAAACAATGTAGAACTCTCAATTTTAATTTTTAAATTCGTAAGAAGTATAAACGTTAAATTGCAAACTTACCTTAACTGGTTAAGACAGACATGGAATCCAACTCACAAATTTGTATATTAGAAAAATGAAAGTTTAAAGGGTGGTTTTTTAGGGGTGTTCATGGGTTGAGTATGTGTTGGGTTGAGGTACTTTTTAACCCAACCAAATTATTCGGGTTATAAATTTATCAACCCAAACAACCCAATCCAACCCAACCATAAAATATTTGGATTAGGTTGGTTGGAGTCATTTGAGTCAATCATTCAAAATATTGTATAAAATAAAAAGTAAATGTTAATATCTTAAACATTTATTTACATATTTTTTAACATTTAATCACAATCTGTGAGTCAACGTTTATTTATATGGTGAAAAATTACACCTTAAAAACTTAAATTTTTATTTTTAAAAGTGGTTGTAGAATAAATAATCCATAGAGAACTATTCAATGAAATTCAATTAAAATAAATATATCAAATGTAAATTTTTTTGGTAAGTAAAAGAAATGATTTTAAAATTAATAACAAGTTCGAGTTGGTTCAGTTCAACCCAAACTTATTTTAAATGAACCATTGTACCAACCCAACTCATAGAATTTTCATTTATTTAAACCCAACTCAATTCGATTATAAATATGTTTAGGTTGCCCATACGAGGTTTTCTGCTTTTGGTTTAATATATTCTTTTTCTTATCAAAAAAACCCAACCCAAACCGTATATATTGGGTTTGGTTGGGTTAAATCGGTTTTTGGTTTTTTGATCACTCCATCAATTGGTTCTTGATTTGTAAGTGTTAAAATTAATTGAATCTTAGGAGTCAGGAGTTTACCTTTCTCTTCCCCTTTTTTTTCAGCCGTAGCTGCCAGTCCACAGCCCACACCAGTTCCTTCTGCTGGCCGCCGCAGCCCGCCATAGTAGGTCCTTTCGCCGACAGCCGCCACCAGTCCATCCACGTTGCAGTTTCTCTCGTCTTCGTTGTGTCCAGCACAGCCACACGGGGTAGATCTTTCTCCATTCTCTAGCCACCTCACCTGAATGGTGACGTTCGTGTTTTAGATGTTACTGTCGCTGGGTTCATGTTGCATCCGTTGACTTGACGTTACTGTTGTTTGTGTTCAAGGTGCATTGTGATCTTCTAGTTTGATTGTAATTTGTTGCTGGTTTGATAATTGATTGTGATTTGTGAACTTGCTGGTTTCATTGTAAATTTTCAACCTGGTAACCCAACCCAACCCAAAAATATAAGTGTTGGGTTTGGTTTAGTCTCCCACTTGATTTTGGATTATTCATCCACATCAATATTCCACTTACTCGGCTGCTTCAAAGTGTGTTCGTGACTAAATGTTTGTTTTTTCGAATGATTTTGCTAAGTTACTATTTCTACGATGGAATGTTTTTGTTTTTATTTTGCTTAATCTCTCTCACAGCTCTAAAATGTTGTTTGAATGTTGTGTGCAGTTATCAAGTTACTAAATAAAAGCATATTATGAACTTTGCAATTCTTCACTATGTAGTTATTGGTTATATTTTGCTTCTGAGTTATGCTTTTGCAGCTTGCTCAAAGAAATTTCTCTAAAGGGTTCCTAAGAACGTTCATCCTCGCACAGATATGCCTTCAAAGGGAAAGAAGAACTCAAAGACGCTCTCTAGATTGTCTAACTCGAACAAATCTCAATCACCTYTRCCACGGTTGGCGATACCTCMTGCCTCTSAAGTTGGTGAAGATGATTTTGTTTCCTCCAYTGAAGAAGCTTCAAGTAAATATCCTTCTTTGATCGGTAAATCYGCGTTCATTGGGAGAGTTACTAATGCTCCARTCCAATCTGGTGGTTGTAAAGTTTGGCTTTCTGAATCTTCTATGGTTGCTTCTAGCTTCACCCAAGGAGCTATYGTCTCGGTAAAATTCTTCCTCTTATTTTCTGTATAATGGAATTAAAATTTAAAACCATGACAAAAATTTTCTTAGGTTAATAATTAGTAGTACTAGCATAAACACTGGAAAAGCAATATTTTCTTATTATCATTTTTTTCCTTTGGTAGGTAGCACTTGCTTCTGTAGAAGGGAGCAATTTAGAAGGTTTTCCTCTTTCCTCATTTGCAGATGAATGTAGTAGACACTTTGGGATTGATTATGAAGATTCTTTAACCAATGAAGTGGGAAATTACTTTGCTCTTGCGAGAATTTTTTCTTCTAATAAGGTATGGAGGTAAAGTTTTTATTGCTTGAACTCTTGTATAAGCAACTAATAGCAAGTACTTCTTCATCCTTCAAGGAGGAAGATGAAAGACTCTACATTAGACCTTGTGTTTAGTGCACTTAATTAAGTGTTTTTGAGGCGCAAGGCCCATTGCAATGCGACAAACGCTTTGATCGCATTGAGGCGAGAGGCGATAAAAAGGCGATGCCAGATTGAAGCGAGGCGCACGTTAATAAATAAGTAAAAATTATATATATAGTGCATAAATTACCTTAAAAAAATCAATACCAAAATAGTAAATGTCAACAAGATGCATAAAACAACCAAATTCTATAAGTTTAGTTCCAAATAAAGACACGCAACATTAAGACATTCTAGAGTTTGGAATAGAACAAAAGTAAATATAAGTGATCAAAGATCATCATCCTCATCTAAATCTAAATTCTCTTCATCTTGATGGTGGTGAAGCCCGTTAAGGTGAATGTCAAGAGGGAGGGGAGGCAGAGATAGGGTTTGGTCGCTCAGGGGGAGGGTGTTTTAAAAAAGATACACATTAAAAACTAAAAAAAAAGAAAAGGCAGATCGCCCCCTTGAAGGAGGCGATCGCCTTGCCTCAGAAGACAGGCGCGCCAAGGCACCCAAAGGCCAGCGCCCGATTGAAGTCGCTCGGCTGGGCACCTTGCGAGGCGCACCTGGACGAAAACGCCTCGCCTCTCGCCTGAGACGAGCGCCCGGGTGCGCCTCGAGAACACTGTTAATTAAGCATGGGTGTACTTTTGGTTCTCATTGTCTTCTAGTTGGTAGTGAAGCTCCATAACTTGTCACAATTGCAATGCATGAAAAGCTAGTTGAACCCTGATCCCTTGTGGTAGTTCTATTTTATAATTAACTTGGCCTACCCTTTCCAAGTAGCAAAAATAATCATAAAATTGAGGAGCCAAGTTTTGTAACAATTTCTTTATGACAGGGGTTTATCTTTAAAGTTGCAGCTTGAGATAAACCAATTCTCTAGCTGAAATTGTTCATTTGTCTACCTATTGTTTTATCGAACATTCTGATTCATTACGTTGCTTTAGTGAATTTAGGCTCTACTGGTGTCGGCATGGAAATTGGATCAATTAAGTGCTTTATCATGGTATTGGATAATGGGCTGAGAATCCCGACTATAACACCTTGAAAGGGTATATTTCCTGTAGGGGACTATGAAAGGAAGTATTGTAGTTGTATTCTGCCCATACCAATCACTTAGTCCATTGCATAGGCTTTCAACATGCATAGCAATACAAGTAGTCTCTGATA